TAAGTCTGAGTTCACAATCTGATGTGATCGGCCAATCAACTCAAAGGGGAAGGATCAGGAAAGATGGGTTCTTGCTGGGCTTATTGCCCTCGGAAGGACAAACGCTCTTTCTTACAAAGGAAATAAGATGAGATTAGTGATCAGTCAATGTAGGTGATAAAGGAAATAGCACACATCGAGAGGTGACTTCATGAGAGACAAAGACAAACCGAGGCTCCTTATGAGGCAGGACTTTCAGTACATTCCCAAAGTTTAGTGAGGAGCACTCCCCTTGACTCAGTTCAGTTTATTCCCAAAGCTCAGTGAGGAGCACTCCCCTTGACTCAGATTCCTATCTCAAGACAGGGTTGCTCTATGTAATAGCCTTGGCTGTCCTGGAATTCACTCTGCAGACCAGGCTGGCCTCAAACTCACAGAGATCCGCCTGCCTCTGCCTCCTGAGTGCTGGGATTAAAGGCATGCGCCACCACCGCCCGGCTCTTATTTGCATTCTTATTTGCCTGTTATTTTAGACATCAGTGGACTCCAAGGTCTGCTTAAATGAATATATCTGAAACTCAGGACACAATGAAGAAAGTTTTTTTTTTTTTACATTCATGATTATTTTTGCTCTTTCTTAATTATTGAGTGGGTTGAGCCCCAGGGAGATAGTTTAGTGATTATCGGTGCCATTCCTGATAATCTGAGTTCAATCCCCTGGACCGTATTGTGGAAAGAGGGAATAGACTTCCAGAAATTGTCCTCTGATCTTCTGATATGCATATTAAACATAATAATAATAACAACAAAAATAAGTTAAGTAATCTGGATGGCATCTCTTAGAAAATTGTAGAAAGTATGGCATTTCTTTTTAAAAAATTATATATATTTTGTTTTTTTGAGACAGGCTTTCTTTGTAGCTTTGGAGCCTGTCTTGGAACTCACTCTGTAGACCAGGCTGGCCTCAAACTCACAGAAATTCACCTGTCTCAGCCTCCTGAGTGGTGGGATTAAAAGCATGCACCACCATCATCTAGCTAAAATATTTATTTATTATTATTTTGAAATTATGTGTATAGTATGTCACAAAATCTGGAGTTGCAAGTATTTATAAGACTGTAGATGTTGTTACTGTAAATTAAATGTGGGTCCTCTGGAAGAGTCACACCTGCTTATAACCACTGAGCCATCTCTCTCCAGGCCAGTCATCTCTCTTCTTACTGTACTGACATTGAAGTTTATGGTGACCTGTTCTCTTTTCCACATTGCAGGATTATATTCTTAATCATTTTTAGGAAAACACATATCTATGATTGCTGTCTCTACCCTGTGACACCTATGCTGTCTTGGAACTCTGCCAGCAAGAAGGTCATCACTGCCGCAAACCCTCAGTCTTGGGTTCCTGGAATCGCGAGACTAAATAAACCTATCTTTCTTACAGAAACGGCAAACAGTTGTTCCTGTCTGTCCCCATGACTTTGCCCTGAAGGACTGAAGTCTCTATTTTGTAACTAATCATGTGAGTCAGTCAGAGCATTCACCGACTGCCACAGATTCGCCACTGTTTTAGAAGTGTTTGTAGGATGCTATTTCTTGCTACCAGTCCGGGTGAGATCCTTGTCTTTTCAGCAGATGTGACTCATGTTACTTCCTGGTTAGAGTATTCGTTTGCATATAGAAGCCTCTCTAGCAAGCTTCTTCCTGGGGAATTTGCTCTCTTTTGACCCCGATGAGCAGAGAACTCTGCTGAATCACAGTGAATATTCACTATGAGTGAAAAATATCTTTTATGGTTTCAGGTAATTAAGATTTTGAGATTGCTTACAACCATCTGTTTCAGTGTTCTACCATAGGAATGGAATGCACACACTAGACACACACACATAACACACACACATACTTCACACATATACCAAATAAACACATATGCTACAAACATACAAGCTACACATTACACATACAGACACTTCATATATATCACACGTACATAAACTACACATAGTACACACATACAATATACACACACTATAGTATAGACATTACACACATAAATTACACACTTATACACTACATACATACACTATATACACATGCTATACACACATAAACTATATATACACATATACTACATGCTACTCATGAACTACATACATATCTATACTGGCTAATTTTGAGTGTCAACTTGACACAAACTACAATCATCAGAGAGGAAGGAGCCTCTGTTGAGAAAATGCTTCCATGGGATCCAGCTGTAAGGCATTTTTTTTCAATTAGTGATCGATGGGAGAGGACCCAGCCCATGGTGGGTAGTAGCATCCCTGGGCTGTTGGTCCTGGATTCTGTAAGAAACCAGGTTGAGCAAGCCAGGGGAAGCAAGCCAATAAGTAGCACTCCTCCATGGTCTCTGCATCAGTTCCTGCCTCCAGGATCCTGGCCTTTTTGAGTTCCTGTATTGACTTCCTTCAGTGAGGAACAGCAATGTGGAAGTGTAAGCCAAATAAACCTTTTCTTCCCCAGCTTGCTTTTTGGTTAAGGTGTTTTGTTGCAGCAATAGAAACCCTAACTAAGACAACACCATACACACCATATACACACAACACATATACACCATGCACACACACATATACACCACACACACACAGACACACACACTGATTTATAGATATGTACCGACTTACGAGATTGTGTAGGATGCAAGGCAGAGCAAAGGCCAGAGGGCACCCTGTCTTACAGGCAGACTGGACCTCGGATAGGGATGAATGCCGATCAAAAGTGGGATTTCTTCTTGAGGAAGCTATAATTCTGTCTTTGTGCCTTTTCATTGACTGGCCCTGTCTCACACTGGTCATTGAGGATACATGGTAACTGTGGAGGTTTGAGTGAGAATGGTTTCCATAGGCTCATGTGTTTTAATGCTTAATCCCCAATTGTCAAAACTGTTTGGGAAGGATTAGGAGGTGTGGTTTTGTTGGATAAGGTGTGTGTTAATCCTGAGATTCAAGAAAAAGTCCTGTAATTTTGAGCCAAATTTGAAGCAACCCTTAGGGTAAATACCAGCTGAAAAGAAGGGTTCTGGCCAGGTCCACCCCTGGATTCCCAGGGAATGGCCACGAGTAACATTTCAGAGACTTAAAAAGGCGAAACTCATAATTCACTGCATTTCCCATCAGGTCCAATGGGGCAAGCACACATCCAGATGTATTTCCTGTCTATGAACCTCCCACCCACATGTGACCAGGCACATCTGGTGCAGAAGGGTCGAACAAACTTATTTAGGGCAGTGAAAACGCGTGGCTTGTTATCTCCCAAGAACAACAGCTCCTAGCATTCCCGGGCGTTATCTTGTCTTTGGGCAAGTGGGGTTTACAGGTTCACTTTGCCTCTTGCAGGTGTCAATGGGGGCAGGCTTTGAGGTTCCAAAAGCCCATGCCACACTCAGTTAGCGCTCCTTCTCTCTCTTTCTCTCTCTCTCTCCTGTGCTTGTGGATCAGATGTGAGCTCTTAGCTACTGCCCCAACACCATGGCTGCCTGCCTACTGCCTGCTGCCTGCCTGCTATCTGCCTTTTGCCTGACATGCTGACTACCACGATGGTCATAGACTCTATCCCTTTGGAGGCACGATGACCCCCAAATGAAATATTTTTCTTTTGTAAGTTTCTTTGGCCATTGTATTTTGCCCCAGAAAGGGAAGAATAACTAAGATAGTAGCTTGCGGTCTTCTTTCACTTTTAATGTGTGTTCACACACGAGCGAGACAAAACCTGGCTGTAGGACTTCTGACCTTACCAACCTCTAGCTGAGCTGAGCTGGAACAAAGCCAGGCTCCATGTGTCATGATCTCACCAAGACTTCCTCCAGCCCTTCCAAATCAGCTCCAAACTCGCCTTCCTTTGTCAGCTTCTGCGTACTGCTTCCGCTTCTGTCTCCTACAAAGTCCTGTAAGCTCCTTACTTTTATCAGATACTCAGCATATTATTAACACCCTCTGTATTTACTAAGTTCGTCATTAGAATTTATACTTCAAAACATCATCTAAATTTGCCACACACCTGCCTCTACTTAACTCCATGAACTCAGTGTGCGCTCTATCCTCATTTACCTCATATAAAAAAAGTATTGGCTGACAGCTTCAAGACTTCCATTTATTTCTCCCACCTCAACCATTTCTTTTTTTTATTTTTTTCTTTTGTTTTGTGATAGCATCTCACTTTGTAGCTCTGGCTAGCCTAGAACTCACTATGTAGACCAGGTTGGCCTCAAACTCACACATATCCACTCGCTTCTGTGTCCCAAGTGCCAGCCCAACAACTTCTGTCATGTAGTTATTGTCTGTGTGTGTGATTTCTGTGCTCTCTGCTTCTAATTCATCTTTATGAGTCCAGGATCCTTTGGTACTATTGATTTGGTATTTAATACTTAGGGAGTAGATCAGGGCGGTTCACCACAAAGACAATTAGACATGAACACACAACCAACAGGTCATTAACATTAACTTCAATGTTAATTCTTTTTTTTTAAAAGAGTAATTTTATTTTATGCGCAGTGTGTGAGGGTATCAGATGCTCTCGAACTGGAGCTACAGACAGTTGTGAACTGCCATGTGGGTACTGGGAACTGAACCCAGGTCCTCCAAAAGAGCAGCCAGTGCTCTTAAACTCTGAGCCATCCTCTCCAGCCCCAGTGTCAATTCTTTTACCTTCTCTACTTTCAGGCTATTATTTAGGAGGAGGACAAGCCTGGCGAAGTGGCACATGACTCTAATCTCCACACTTAGGAGGCTGAGGCCGTGCCCTGTGTTTGAGATCAGCCTATGCTTTACAATAAGCACCAGGCTAGCCCATCCTATTTCAACCAATCACCCCCTCCTACACACACACACACACACACACACACACACACACACACACACACACGAAAAGTAACAAAGGGAAAAAACCAGAAAGGACAGCTTTCACTTCATTCTGTTGTTAGTCGGGAGCCTCTGGACCATGAAGAATAGCATGTAGTCACATCATTTAGGTTAATAGAAGTTTATTTATGCCAATACATAAGAAAGTAAGGAAGATAGGGAAATTACCAGGGCCTACAGAGTTCAGAGTCACTGTTGAGACCCAGTCATTTCCTCTGTAACAAAGAACAAGTTGGTGTCTCAGCAAAAACTCTGCGGGTCTCTGTGGATGCAGCCGTCCTTCCTGATTGAAGATGGCACCGCAGACAGGCGAGGTGCCGGTCTCTGTGGATGCAGCCGTCCTTCCTGATTGAAGATGGCACCGCAGACAGGCGAGGTGCCGGTCTCTGTGGATGCAGCCGTCCTTCCTGATTGAAGATGGCACCGCAGACAGGCGAGGTGCCGGTCTCTGTGGATGCAGCCGTCCTTCCTGATTGAAGACGGCACCGCAGACAGGCGAGGCCTGCCCCGGCTGTATCTTACTACACCTTGCTTAATTCCTGCCTTTCACACCAGGTCTCTGATGGTTAGATCAGGCATTTCTGGGTGTGTCATTTTTTTTTCTGGCTTCCCCGTGGCCTGTCTATCTACCAGTCATTGAAAATACAGCCAGCCACCGTGGTCGGTGTGTGGCGCTCACACGGCGCAGAACATGATGCGCTGCTCGGAGGCCTGCCTGATCTCTCAAGAACACTTAAAGCCCATCTCAGAGTGCAGGTAATAGCAGACAGCTTTATTGCTGGAGACAAAATGCCTTTGTTTCCCAGTGACACAAAGTGCCATTTCACTGCTACAACTATTCTGAAGATTTGGTGTCACCATTTTGTGTGATATGTGTCTTAGATGCTGCCTGTCGTACACGCACTGGATGAAGATGCATCCCTGCGTTTAGTGAAAGGTGGTAGAATTGTAGATGAAGCCATTATTAACATGGCTGTCACCTAATTGGACATTCCGCGTTGTCCTTTAAAGTGTCCATCTTTGTTTAAGTTGGAACGTCGGAAACAATTGCAGTATTTTTCATCCTGAAAATTGAGGTCATTCTTCTCCAGATGGGTTGTGAACCCACACAAGAAGATTCTAAACTAAAAAGCAAGTCTGTCTGCTCAGTGTTTCTGCTGTTCCTAAGGAATTTCTGCTCATGGGAAGGGGTAGAGTTGATAGTTGAAGTTTTCAAGAGGCCTGAGGCCCAGAGGACTATTAGTGGGAACGAGTAACTCCTTTTACAAAACATTTACTAACATTCCTATCAAAGGACATAAAAATAAATGATAAGTAACCTTTATCTTGCTGTGATTTAGTTGGGCCCCTTGCATATGATTCCTATAAAACTACATTATCTCAATTTTTACCAAAACCATGACTCTATAGGATGTAGACACTGCTGATCAAAGAAAATTACTGAGTTGAAGATTCAGGAATCCACTTCACTAAGTCTCTGCTGGAAACTCAAGCAGCAGCTTTGAAGACAGTGTGCCTCAGACTTCTCCTTGTGCATGTGTGTGCGCTCCCTTAGAAAGACGTCCTGCCACAAGTCCAAATCGCTGTAGTAAATCAACCACTGTTCCATGTGTGTCCCCTAGCAAGGCTCTGTGCTCAGTGCTTCAGGCTGCTTAAATGGAACAGCTTCCTCAGCTTCCCTGCACGGCAAATTGGGAAGGGGGTTTATGCATCAGTAGGCGTCTTTCAAAGTGAGCTCTAAACTTCAGACTCCAAATGGGGTTCTGTGGGACTGGGTATAGCTCAGTGGCAGAGCACTCATTTAACGTCCTCGAGGCCTTGGGTTTGATCCTCAGCATTGTAAACAGAACCCCAAACCAAAGGGAATTTGCAGAGAAGACACAGGTGTATTTATTACAGGTTTTTGGCAGAGATCTGAGAGGGGGTGATGGGTGGATACTCTAGGCAGCTGGACCAGATGTAGCCCAGGACATGGCCTCTACAGATATTTCTTCACTAATCAGTGGGACAAACTTTTTTTTTTTAATTGCCAGATAGGAATAGTATTATAAAGATGCCTGTTGGGTGAAAAGCTCCACAGTGGTCCAGAGTCCACAGGACCAACTAGAGCTCCCTTAATCCTGGCTTACCGCAGTACCTGGTAGCCCTTACTCCCGGTTTACAGCAGTACCTGGTAGCCCTTACTCATGGCTTACAGCAGTACCTGGTTTCTGAGATCGAGCTGAGCAAAAACGAAACGGCTAGCTTCACAATATGGCAGGGTTTTACAACACTTAGGCTTGAAAAAGAAAACCTCAGCATTTGGTTACATGAAAGACTCGCTCCCTATAAAGCCCCTCCCCATTCAGCCTTTTATTAACCAATTCTCTTAGTTATCTGAAGGTTGATATGCCCAGATATAAGCTTATCCTGTTTACATAAGGGTATATTAAAAATGGAAATACCCTTTGTACTGGAGTTAAGTCAGCTGTTGCACATAACAAAAGAAAATGCATGATAACTTGTTACATCTTACATTTCTTGCCTTTTGTGTTCTATTTTAAAGGTTTATTATTTATTCATTTAGCATACACACGTGTATGTATATATGTATGTATGTATGTATATATGAATACCCACATACAAGCATGTGTGCCAGGGTATGTTTGTGGAGGTCGGAGTACAGCTTGCTGAGTCCGTTTTTCTCCTTCTGCCCCTCTGGGTTGACTCAGGCTGTCAGGTTTGGTGGCATGAGCCTTTACCCATGGTCATTTTGGCAGACAGCGTCTCATGTAGCCCAGGCTGGTCTTGAAGCTGCTAAGTGGATAAAGCTGACGTAGAATTCCTGACCCTCCTGCTTCTGCCCCCTAAGTGCTGGGATCGCAGGTATGCACCTACTCACACAGCTTAATATCACGTTTCCCTGTGTCAGATTTCCAAGAGAAGCCCCAGTGGCCCGTGGACTTTCACTCCTGGGGGAGTACAAGACTGTTGGTAGGTCACACGTAGGAAGACGAAACTTTAACAGCTTCAGGAAAGTTCTTTAGAATACCCGTACAGTTACCATAAAAAGCAGTGTATTTTAGTTGATTTAAAGATGTAAATTCTCTCAAATGGAAAATGTAGGCTAAGGGTTGAAGGTGGCCTTAAAGGAGAAGAGGATAGGCGACCTTTGGTTAACAAGATAAAAGGGAACAAAGGAAGATATGAATTCTTAGCAAGTTGGAAAGCATGGATATGGAGTAATTTATCTAGTCTATAATCTCAATCAAAATGCTTATATTAGAATGCTCCAGTTCACTAGGAATAAGCAAAGGTGAAGGGGAGAATCCACCCACAAACCACGAGGCTGTTGATAAGGATAAAATTTGAATAATAACAACAAAGTGTCTTTCCTTCCAGGAGCTGACTGCTCTGTGCAAGAAGGCAGATTTGCACATTAAATTCTAAAAATAATGAAACAGAACTTGGACAGAGAAACCCTTACAAAGGGCATGTGTTGGGGTCAGGGGATGCAGATTTAAAAAGGATAGAATTCCTGAGACAAGGAGTCATGGATTGAATCCTACCATGGCCTTCTCACAGTCTGCCCCCTCTCCCCAGAACTTAGTTCCATAAAAGTTCCTGTAGGCAAATGAAAACCTCCTAATGAATAAATCTAAGGCACTCGAGAAGAGGTACAGACCGGTGGGAAATGAGTTTCTGTTATCTCAGGTTCAGTGAGGTACTTCTCTGACAAGCTGGTAACCGCACATTAATAAAACGCCTATTTCAAAGGGTAAGCTCAATCAGCAGAATGTGATCCAACACATCTGAGTAAGAGTGGTGTCAGACGCTGAGATAAAGTAGAGCAGATTCTGGGGACATAGAGCCTGGAGCAACACAAAAGCAGAAGCATCCACACATCTTTCCTTACTCTCGCTGAGCCTGCGAAACTCAGACATTCATTTCTCACGTTGTGTTCTGAAGGACCTTGGCAGCGTCTCTTGCTCCTTAATGGCAGGGCAGGGGAAGGGTGGAAGGGGGCCGTATACAATGTGTCTCAGTTCTGCCATTTCCAGGCTCATCAGGCGTGATTCTGCAGAGTGTAGCTACAACCTCCACATCCCACTTTCTTTCCTGTAGCCTGCTCGTTTTGTGATTTAATAGGGAATGGCCAGTGAGGATGCAGCGGAAGCCAACAGGACACAGAGGAGAATGTGTGACAGTGACTGACGGGAGGGTCCTATGTTTAATGTGTCATGGGATAAAAGTATGATGCACAGAAACCGTGGGTCCCATATGCCTGTTTTCAACCAGTTGGTCTTTCTGAGGCAGTACTTGACTCCGCAATGAGTAGATAGAGCCTGAATAGTGGGCCGCTGCTGAATTTTGAAAACCAGTATTTGAGAACAAATAAGGCACTAAGTTAGTGTTAGCAATGGGGAAATGCAAAATGTGTCTCAAATTGTGTTTGGTCTCCATTCAACTGGAGAACAGCTCCCAGAATATTCCGGCGAAGACGGTAGGATAGCAGTCCCCTTCTTCATATTTTCCAGCAGGGCGTACCTCCAAATTAGAAGTAGCCTTGGAGTGCTTTTGTTTTATGTTCTTTCCCTCTTGAGAAATACATCCTAAGCTATGGAACGGGAAGAATGGGAGTTAGTTACCTATCCAGCAGAGACTCAATGTCTAAAAGAAAAAGGTCCCCTGTATAGGAGAGCATCCTGTTGGAATAGAACAGTCTCCTGAATTAAATGTTCTCCCAGAAGACAGAGACAACACAGGACTCATTCTCCTGTGTGCTGCAGAAGGACAGGGTTGCATGGTCGGGTGAGGTGCTACGCTGTGGTGGCACAGAGGTATGGGTTACTGGCAGGACTCTACTGATGCTGGTGTGTACCGTGCCCCTGGATGCCATCCTGATTGATGGGTTTGTGAGTGAGTGACAGTGATGGCCATTTCATCAATGATAATGTTCTCTTTTCCCACTGTGTAATATCAAAGGCAGCAACTGGGAAAGGGCCCACATCACCAAGCCTACATTTGTCTCATGACTGTTGACAAGCAATGTGGGAGACAACGTAGCCAAGAGGGAGGTGACCTTTTACGCTTCCCGTGTATTCAGAATCGTTGGATCAACCCAGGATCCCTTTGTCTGCTAAAGAGTGACAAGCCTTCCTTGTCTCATTGCTTCTACTCATTGCCTTCCTTCCTTTGAAAGCCACCCCCAAAGCTGCTTTTACTTGCACACTTGCCAGGGTGACACCCAATTCAAGGATGGAGTGTTTGGTAAATACTTAGAGTCTTATGGCTGGAAAAGCATCTTTGAGAGTCTTCAAATCAGTCCGTAAAAACCTGATTTCCTTAAAGCGCAGCTCTCTTGGCATGCTCTATCTCTCTGTCTCTGTGTGTCTCTGTGTCTCTTTGTGAGTATTTTTCACTGTTTTTGTTGTTGTTTTGTTTTGTTTTTGAGACAAGGTCTTTCTCTATAACCCTACCTGCCCTGGAACTCTCTATGTGGCCTCCAAAGATCTTCCTGCCTCTACCTTCTGAGTTCTGGTATTAAAGGCATGCACTGCCACACCTGCATGCTCTTTAGATCTCTTGACCGGATTAAATACCCAGTGAGGCAAGAGACAGAAATAGCAGGAAAGGAATTGGGGTGGTCAGTAGGACTGTGAACCATTCTGCATTCAGTGAACCTGAGTAAGGAATTCTTTTTGTCATAATTAAACCAAATCTCTGGAGATGAAAGTAAACAAACGAGATTGTTTATCCTTGTTCTAAAGACACATGTACACTCTGGTCCTAAAGGTTCATTTGCAGCACAGCGTCTTTGTGCGTTATTATTTATGTCAGGGTGACCGGGCTTCATATTCCACGCAAATATCCACAATCCAGATTGTCACCAGGACCAACCTTCCCCACCTACATACCTATTCTGTGTTTGCAAAGAGAAATTTTCCCCTCTGGATTCTTGGGAAGTACCTGGTATGACTTCTATCAGGATACGGCGGAGATTATTTCAAGAAAAAGATTATGCAGTGTAATGCTTAGCATTTATATAGGTTCTTTTGATTTCAAAAAAACAACTTAGAAATATCGCCTACCATGACAGCATCCTTGCGAGGTAGGTGAGTATTATTGTCTCTACACTGACTATAGAAACCCGAGGCCGAAGAGCGAAGGACTCTATTCTGAGCTTGGTGGCAGGAGCCATACTGGGGATGGGCATCTTGGCCACTTGCTCTGGGCTCTGAAGAGGTCACACCTCTCTCATGTAGCAACAGTCTCCATTAATACAGGATTATATATTGTAGAGATATAAAACAACAACACACAATGACATTATAGAACAATAATCCAATATTTCTGTTTCTTAGTAAAATATGTTAAGCACAGTATTTAAATTGCATTTGTCTGAAAAGCATTTGGTATATTAAATAGCAGAAGGTATATTAAATAGCTCTATAAACATTTGCTGGCATACTCTTAACAGCATAATAATTCTAAATAAATTAAAATCCACCGACGCATAGAGACCTTTCCTTTATAATACTGTTAACCAAACACAAATGTGAAATAGCTTTGTTCTCAAAATACAGACTTAATGGCTTGCTGAATATTAGCAGGGGCACTTCATCTTTCTGAGCTTGAGGAAAGTATATATATATATATACACACACATATATGTATATATATATATATATATATATATATATATATGAATATATATGAAAGAGAGTGAGAGAGAGAGAGCTGACTTTGGTTGTTAAAATAAAATAATAACTTAGGAAGGGGAAAAAGTATAGTTGAAGATTGGGTAGTGGTGGCACACACCTTTAATCCCAGCACTTGGGAGGCAGAGGCAGGGAAATCTCAGTGAGTTCGAGGCCAGCCTGGTCTACAGAGTGAGTTCCAGAATAGCCAGAGCTACACAGAGAAAGCATGTCTCAAAAAACCAAAAGAAAAAAAAAAGAATGTAGTTGAAAGGTGAAAATGAAAGACTGATATTTCTATATTGTATACATTTTGGGGAATTCACACCTTTCCCAAAGATATTCTGACACTTTGAACTAGTGCCGAGGTGAACACAGAGATGCTGTAGAAAAAGGACATTTAGGGAGAAGACAGACAGATACCAATGAAAACCTGTGGGTTCAGAACACAAGGGGACAAAAGACTGGGTATTTTTTCAGGAGTCTTGAAGGCTGGCATGAGATGGGGGTGTTTGTGCTCAGCTGCCTCAATAGGTCTTGAAGATGGATTGTTAGGGAAGAAACTTGGGGCTGTGTCTTCTCCCCCATTCCTCAACTCCAGAATTCAGCAATGTTAAAGGAGAGGGCTCACCTCACGCTAAAACCTGTGCAGCTGGGCCAGCAGAAAAGGTCCTAAAACCAGTAAGAAACAGAAGACAAGAACTGAGTCTTAAAATCTGTATGCAGATGTTAAAAACTAACTCCTACGCCAGAATGACATTCTCCGTTAGAGCTCATAGATAGAAAAGTCTTAAATTTAATATACGGTGCTAAGATGTTGTTAGCTAGATATTACATGTCATTCAGAGAACAGTTTTAATAAGTGTGCTTTTTTTTATTTCTCCTTAAAAAAAAAAAAGATGTCGTAAACCGTGGTCTTTGCTCTAGTCCTTCCTGCACTGGGTCTGAAGCCTCGCTTGTCTGTCAGTGAGCTATGCACTCAGGGGCTCCCTCCCGGTGGCATTGTCATTGGCAGCTTGGCTGGAGGGAGACTTGCGTTTGGACAGGTTTGAACAGTTCGGCTGTTTGGTGGGCTGTAAGGATTTGGCATAAGGCGAATACCAGTCTCTTTCAAACACGTCTTTGAGTTGTTTAATGATGCTCCTGTTGTCTCTCGCCTCTGCCTGGTTGATGACGAGGCCCGTACCCGCATTCAGGGTGAAGTCGTTCCCTACCCAATCAAAATTTCCTGCAAACAAAGAAATCATGGTGAGGAGGTGTGATCAACTGGGAAAATCCCCAATATATGAAATGTAGAACAGATTCAAATAAAAAAAAAACATAAAATAAACACCCAGGAATAACGAGAGAGGCAGAATCATGATGACAGCTCCAGAGGAAAAAACTTGCAAGAAGCCCTACATATGGCGGATTAATATTTGCATATTATTTTGGCATTTTCTTCAGCTTCGCTCAAGTTGAAACTCAGAACAAGGAATCTGCTGTTCTTTTTCTGTAAATGTTATTTCTTATTGACGTTCACAAGACACACTAAATACAGCAACATTTAAAATATATAGGAATACACTTTAAAATCCCGTGAACAATTACACCTTCTCAAAGAGACAACATCGAATCCATGTGTGTAAACATTATTATGCAGAGACACTTTACAGTGGAGGCAAAGCTGAAGTCAGGGAAGCTGCTCCTGCACTCCCTAAGGAGAATGGAAGGCATCCCCAGGGCAGGGGGACTGGTTGCTTGGCCAGGTGTTTCAGGACAGTTTTCAGAACATGCCAGAAACCAGTTGGTTTAAATAGTAGAAATGTATTCTCATGACTTTGGAGACAAAAATTAAGGTTGGTTCTTTCTGAGCGCTAAGGGAAGAGTGATGGCTAATTTTTGTTGCTGACTTGACACATCTAGGAAGAATTGCCACCATCAGACTGGCCTCTGGCCACGTCTATGGGGCATTTGCTCGATGGCTAGTTATATAGGAGGGTTCTGTCCACTGTGGGCATTGCCCTTTGGGAAAGTGAGCCTGGGCTGGATAAGAAAGGTATCTGGCCATGAACCTGGGATCAAGACAGTAAGCAGTATTGCCCTCTGGTTACTGGTTTAAGTACCTGTCTTTAGTTCCGGCCTTGCCTTCTCTTGATGATGAACCTTAATCTGCAAGCTGAAACAAACCCTCTCCTCCCCAAATTGCTTTTGGTTAATGGTGTCCATCACAGGGATAGAGAAACTACTAGGGTGGAAGGGATGAGTTCCAACCTCATCTCCTGGGTGGCCCCTTCTCCCTGTCTCCCCACACCGCCTTTCCTGAACGCATGCCCTTATCTTGCCCTCTTTCTGATTTTGCATTTGAAACAGGATGTTATTATATAGCTCAGGCTGGCCTCAAACTCACAGCAGTCCTTCCCCTTCAGCCTTTGGAGATGGGATCACAGGCACAAGATACCATACATCGTTCCTCTGTGGTTTGTTTTTGTTTTAAACGACATAGAGCACATTAGATTAATGTCTATAATGATCCTGCTTGGGAGTGATTTTCCTTTCACACATTCTTTCATACAGGGAACTGGGACTTCAGCATATGAATTGGGAGGCTGAGATTGTTTCAGAAGAGGTTGATAATTGCTATGCCATTAATGCTTAATCCATCTTCAAGACTACATTGGTTTGAATGGGAATGACCCCCATAGACTCACATATTTGCTTGCTTAGTCCTCAGCTGATGAGCTTTCAGGGAAGGGTTAGGGGGCGTGGTCTTGCTGGAAGAGGTGTGTCACCAGGGGTGGGCTATGAGGTTTTAAAAGCCCACACTTGGCCCACTGTCTTTCTCTCTGTGTCTGCTGCCTGAGGAGCATGTTGTGAAGCCCTCAGCTACTTCTCCTGCACCATACCCACCTGCATGCCACTATACGCTTCAACGTGATGATAACAGACTAAGTCTGTGGAATTGTAAGCCAGCCCCCAATTTCAATGTTTTCTTTTATAAGATTTGCTTGGGCCATGGTGTCTCTTCATAGCCATAGAACATGAAAACAAAGGCACAGAGCTGAGCAACCCTAACCTCCCATATATGTTTCTTTGGGATTGAATGGGCAAAACCAAGCTTTGTCCTTAGAAGGGGACAGTGCTGTTTATTTCTCTGATCTTCTGTGTCCTGTCTTGGTCACTGAGTACCTAATGTTTACTAGGTCTGATGTGAAGAATGTGGATAGAAATCTGAATATGACAGTTTCTGCCTTCAAAGAGTCAATGAAGGAAACAGTCATCAGAACACAGAAGGCAGGAGAGGGTACACCTTTCACATCCAGAGCCACGCTCGCTGGGGAGAAGACTTTCTATCCTTCACTAAACATGCCAAGAAGAAGCTGTGTATTGAGTGATGAGAAACACACTGAAGGTTAACTGGGACAAGAGATAACCAAACTTCCAAAGGAGGGTGGTATCTTTTGGGCAGAGAAAAGGTCAGGAATTTGGAATATTAGGGGCTGTGGTCAAGCTGCAAGGGAGTCTGAGAGGAAAGAAACTATAATTTATTGTCTACTTTGGGCGAAGCACAGTGCTTGTGGTTACAAACACTATTTTACATGATGGGGGGAGAATTTTCCATGAGGAAGGAGATGTTCACAGAGGTTCCTACACTCGTCCCAATTTTCATGGTTAACCAATGGTGCCTCAGGGAAAACCGCTGGAGCTGGGGTTCGGAGTCAAATTGAACTCCAGAGCCAGCACTTCACTTCTGTGTCATATGGCCTCTGACCCTAAAGGCATCCACTGACTGCTTCACCCTGGACAATGACCTCAGCTCAGGCTCTGGGGCATAGCAGCCACACTGGGATTTCTGCTACGTGCATTGGCAGATCAAATTTTCTGGAGGAAACAGACACAGACAAATGTGTTGGGGGAAGCCCCGGGAGGAGAAAAGAGGATGGAGAGAGGTGAGGACTTTGGAACCGTTATCCTGTAAACCGAGCTTTTTCCTGCTATCAGTGAACAAGCCAAAATCACAATGTTTGTGGATTTCAAATGCTTTAGTTGGCTTCTTTCCGAGATAGCTCTGGGACATTTCTTGCTGACACAGGGATTTTGCCTGACCTTCAAGGTGTATTTTTTTTCTTAAAGTTGGGCTACAATTTCACCCATTATCTTTTTAGACTATTTCACCCCCCCTCAACAAATGCATGCTAAGGCTGCAATATCCAGATGTAGTGTGTCCTGTGTGTATACGTGATGTCAAGGGTGCCAACGAGCTCATTTTGTTAGTAGGCAGCCTTGGGCATCTTGCCAGCACCTTCCATTAACCTCCTGCAACCTCCTTAGCTGTCTCGTAACTCAGACACTTTCCTGAAAATTTTGCAGAGCTTAATTCAGACACATTCTGGAGAATTTAAAATGAAGGAGAGAGGACACTGCCTGAAGATTCTTCTGCAAGTCTCATATTAACCTAATGGAGCTGTAACCTCATACCCTGGGAATTTTCTTAGTTCCACATTATCAATGAGCATCGAAGGAATGATTCAGGAGATTGCCCAGTGTGCTGAGGATTATTTAAGATACCAGTTATTTCCCCATTTTGTTCTTTGAGTGTTTTTCTGTTAGAGCTCTGCTTCTCTCTGGGGAATCAGTGTTTTGTTAGAACTGTTGTCTATAAAACGAACTCACCAAATAACATCTTAGCCCAGGATGAGGAAGAGAGCAAGAATCCAATCTTTACTAAGACCCCGGACCCACCAGAGAGAGCGTGTGGGGCCATTCATATATCACCTCACTTAACCATCACGTCACCGTCAAAGGGTGGGTGCTAGTGCCCCCCTTTCTCAGACAGGAAACTGAGACCTAAAAGAGATTACACAACTTGCTACCATCTTCCAGCTTGTGCCAGCGCTGTAATTAAAAAACACAGATTTTTCTGATTCCAAAACACTGCTTTAATTTGTCCAAGAAATGTTTGCACATCAGGTGAGCCATTTGAAGACCAATAAACATTAGTTGATAAGCTACCATGTCTGGTCTTGGATTGAGTTTTGTCTTCCTCTTCGGTTAAGGTATCACTGAATGAGCCTATGGCATATTACTTTAAATAAAAGCTACAATAAAATATCTTGATTTCGGGTCTTAAGCCACTGTGTGCATGTCTTGATTCATCCATAAGTTTTAGATAATTTAGACAGAAGTTCCCATTTTTTAGTTTAACAATTCTGAGGTATTTTTTTGTCACTTGTCTTTAAAGTTTTTATAATTATTTGTTTATTTAATATTTATGAGTGTTTCGCCTGCATGTAGCTCTAATTTTAAGAAGGCAATGCTGTAATTAGAAAAAATAGAGACTGATATTCTCAGACTGGGATTGCAATGACCCCGTATTCTGGACAGAACACAGAGCTCCTCTCTGGACACCCGCATGGCCGAGTTACATCCCTATGCAGACCCCATGTCCTCATTTCTAAACTTGGATTACGCTCTCCTCTCTGTTGGTAGTGATGCTAACAGGACTAAATAAGGTAAAAGTGCTTCAGGAAGTAGAAATAACCGATAGGAGTTCTGTATTCATTCTGCACCCCACAAACATGTTTTTCTTCTCTGCCGAGGCTGCCACTTCACCTGTGTGATGTAATAATCACCCCCATTCCCTAGGATTTGAGCGTCTCCTTTTTATAGACAATGTCAGCCCTATCTGGGATGATTCCAGTGCAGGAATTACCCTGGCCTCCCACACACTGTGACAAGTTAGAATAATCCCACCAACATAATAGTGATTTATGCACCTGGAACTTTATTGCCTTAAGAATGACAGCTAACATTAATTGGGCATCATCCGTGTGCCAGGTGATTTGTGTGTACTGTCTCTCACTTAAACATTACTCTGTGAAGTTAAAGACTGACACCAGCCTCATCTACAAATCAGCAAACTGAAATTTAGGGAGGTCCTGGGAACTGCTCCGCGTTAGATATTTAGAAAATAGCAGAGATACCGCGAGAAGATGGCGTGGATGTCTTTGTTTCCCAGACACTATAGCGACTCCTCACAGCCCCAAGATGGGATGTCTCATGATCTTGTAGACAGAGAATAAGCATTTTGGGTCCATGTATCTGTTCCATGACGGAGGAAGTTCATTGGTTAATTAAATAAAGAAACTGCTTGACCTGATAGGTTAGAACATAGGTGGGTAGAGTAAACAGAACAGAATGCTGGGAGGAAGAGGAAGTGAGCTCAGAGAAGCCATGCTCCCCTCTCCCGGGCACACGCGATGAAGCTCCGACCCAGGATGGACATAGGCTAGAATCTTCCCGGTAATCCCACCTTGGGGTGCTACACACATTATTAAAAATGGGCTAGTCCAGGTGCGAGAGTTAGCTGAGAAGAGGCTAGATATAATGGGCCAAGCAGTGTTTACAAGAATACAGTGTCTGTGTAACTATTTTGGGGCATAAACTAGCAGGCGGCCGGGGTGCTGGGGATGCAGCCCCACAGCTCATATTACTACAGTTCCATGCCAGAACTCACCTTTCATAAGTCCTTCATCTCCTTGCTTATAAAATGAGCCGAATGGACCAGAGAATGTGTGCAGAATGCAGACAGTAAATTGTCTTCCATGGTTGGCAGCCATGGAGTAGAGAGAAGGTCTACTTAATTGAAGAGCTCTTGGCCTTCATCCTCCCACCTTCTAGTTGGACAACCTCTTTAACAACTACAGCAGACCCCTACTGTCTGGATGATGCCCAAGGAGGAGCTTTTCAGCTCCCATACCCACCAATGTAAGCTGCTCCGTCTGTTACCATGTACTTGTTGCGGTTTAATTTTGGAAAGGTCTGGTTCTTTTGTTCTTTTGTTGCACAAGCATTCTCTCTTTCCAGATCAAAAAATTTCTGTAAGACAAAAAAACAAGAAAAAAATGGTAAGAAAGCAAAGCAGGTCAATTGAGAATGTTTTGGGTCTTGTTCACAAGCACAAAGGAGCCTATTATACAAATATCAGCAATAGACCTCACATTGGGTTATTAAAATGACGCTCTTGTTACTTTGTATAGATGAAGCTATTTTTACTCTCCATCCATATAGGCAACAACAAAGAGAATTAGCATGTTCAACTAGCTCTGTGATTAACTCTACAAAGCGAACAAATGAACACAAAATTCCTTCTCTGAACAGGGCGAGAACAAGGAGGTTGGTTGTTTAATCTCACTGTCTTACTGAGCAGGGCACACTGGCCCTGCAAGCAGTTTCTAGGCGCTCTGTGTCTTGCATGCCAACAAACTGAATGACTGTTCTTACCTGGTGCTTATATTATGTCAATGACTAACTGATTCATCTGAGAATCTGCAATGGTCAAAAGAGATTTTGCCACAGAACAAATAGTTTTCATTGGAACACCTAAGTTCATGGGCTTTTTGAATGGGCAACTAAAAAAAAAAAAAAAAAAAAAAAAACAAATCACAAAATTCAAACTATAGAACTCTTGTGTCAGTGTGACTTTAAAGAAATGATGATAACTATAATATTAATAGCATTCTATTTCACCCAAGGCCCAGAATAGAGATGCTTGGGAAGTGAGGCCTGGCAGCAGGGAAGGCAGGCCTTTGAAATTTGGCCAGGGTTGGATGGATTATCCATCGGGAATGAGCCCCTAGGACACTGAAGGCTTAGGTCAAGGGTCTCAGTTCTCCACTGCAGTGGAGGACATGGATCCTAGAAGGTCTTTCAGCTCTGGCCTCTGTGAGCTGGAAGGGAAGAGAGGCAGAGGCCAGATGTGGAAGGTGACTTCATGTATAAGGTTCTGCTAGTTCTAATTTGGGTTGGGGAAATGGTTAGAGTTGGTCTAGCCTTATACTTCACGCTGGGGGAAGGGTAACCTGATGATCACTAAGGGCTCATGTATTCTGAGCCTCATCGGGGAGACTTCTGAGACAGCAGAAACCAGATCAGTGTCTTTGACATCATTAGAGGTCTTACTGTGCTGGGAGAGAAGCAAGGAGACCAAAGAGAATCACTTCATTAAATAAAGTAATTCAAGAGAGCTGTGAAAATATTTTTTAGATTAAAATTAAAAAATTATGTGTATCTATTTATGTGTGTTGAAGTGTGGGTTTGTGCATGTGAGTGCAGGTGTCCACAGAGGCCAAAGATGTCTGATTCCTGGAACTGGAAGTATAGATAGTTGTAGGCCACCTGCATCACCTGATGTGGATGCCGGGAACTGAGCTCTGGTCCTTTGCAGGAGCAGTGCATGCTTTTATTTGCTGAGCCATCTCTGCAGCCCTGAGCTGTGACAATCTTGCAAGCAGCAGTCTCTCCCCGATGTCCTCAATGATACCAAGCCACATCTGGGCAGGTGATGAGAGTATCTACTTAGAGACAGAGCACCATGCCTGGTCCCAAACTATCTATCTGCCTTGTCAGGGCTCTGTGCTTCCTGCAGACATACTGTATCCAAAGTTTTATACCCTACTTTTCTTGTAAAATCTCCCTGACCATCTGTGTCCTAGATGATGGGGCCATGTTTCCTTCCCACCCATGCCTGTCTTGACATTTAAAAATACATGGCCTCTGTTTTATAAAATGGCCAACAGTGAGCTATTAATGTATGGCTTATTCAAGATTCATGACCATCTGTGTCCAAAATAGTGAAACTGAAGGGGTTCTGCAGAGGCTACTGTGGCAGATTCCTCTTTTCTTGTAGGATTTCGAGTGCAAGCGCCTTAGAGGCAAGCACGCTGTGGGGGCCGGAAGCAGCATGGCGGGAAGACCCCTGGCTTTGGGTGAAGGGAGACCAAGAGTGATTGTGGGAGTGGATGTACCATGCTGTGGGCCCAAGCTCCTGCAAACCTCATGTACTCGACAGAAGATTCTGTAATGTCACTCACTGACCTCCAGGGTGCATGATACTCACAGCGAATACCAGATCATAAACGACAATAAGAAAAGTCTGGGCAATGCTTGGTCCACAGAACAGTCCATGTCTGGTACTGGAAACCTAGGCAAATGCCCACGTCTTGGGAGGGCATATGCCCTGTTGGGAAAGCTACTGCCTTTATTTTGCTTAATGGGCATGCGGCTCCTGTCAAATTGCCTTCTAAATAACTATGTTTATGCACAAGGATTAGCGTTGCTATCAGCTTTGGTCTACAAAGCATCTTTCTGTAGGGGTCAGAAGTTACTAGAGAGACTCATAATTAGTCAAAGTATTGAGGAGAAATGACTCCTAAATGCCCAGCCATAGATGGAACTTCTATCCTTCAAAGGCACACAGAACATCAGAACGGGGGAAGGAGCAGGGAGAGGCAGAAAACCCTAACTTTTTGACATGACATAGCTGTTGTTGCACCTTTGGATTTAAAATAAGCTGTGATAAGCTGCACACGTAAGACTGGGCCCATCAACACGCTGTCATGGGAGCAGGGGTGGGGGTCATGTGGTTCCATCCTTCCCTGGTGATTTACTATCAACAGTCTGTGGTTGATGGGGACGGGAGAGGCATTTCCTTCAGGAGTGTAGCTCCTCAGATGGGCCCCACGCTCCTATAAACAATGCTTTTGTAAATAGTCATAAGGAAACTCACTGGGGTGAGAAACGACTTGGGCATTGCTCTGGGTGCTCTGCTCTCCTCACTGGTGACAGAGCCTATCTTACCACTGCCTTTCCCAGATCACCCCCCACCCCGTGCACCTTTTACTGCCTTCATTTGTGCATAACAGTTTAACACATATTTTGAACACTATTGGCTTTATGCCAGCCATTAGGGACAGACAGCGACTAGACATCTGGTTTCTGCATCATCTGACTTCCCTGGAGTCTCAAGTGCCACTTCAGTACTCTGGATGATGCTGTCCCGGAGCTGAAGCAACCCCAGCATTCTCTTCTCTATGAAGAGGCATAATGGACATGTGGATGGGCCTCTCAGGTCTTACCTGGCTCCCTTGTATCAACCTCTGCTTTCAGTCCTAGTATTTGATTTCAAATCTCAGTTAGCACTCTTACCCTGTCTTGGATATTTCAAACACTTTCAAATCTTGCCTGCCAGACAGATGACTGGTAATAACCACAAACCTGTTTTCATATTTCCAATACTTACAATGATTTGTGAACTCATAGACAACAGGGTGTCTGCTTCAGTTTTAAAAATTAAGATTAAGTACAGAGTTGTACAGAGAAAGGGATGGAAATTCTAGGGTTCCCTATAAGTGAAGGAGGGAAAACAGATAATGGGTGCTGAGACTATCAGAGCAGGATATTCTGTAAGTCTTTTTCTTTGTCCCAGTGAGACACGGCTGCCCTGCTGGACACACAAGCCTCCCTTGCCTTGTGGTGTCACCCTGTGAATGACGTCTGTGATGGAACAGAAGCTGAAAGGATGCTTACCCCCATAGGCCTAACCATCAAGTCTCTCACTCCTCCCTCTGTCTGTCTCTAGGATATCAAGGGTCAGGAATAAGCTGGAAGCTATGATTCAAGATGGATGCTTCAGAGACTCTGTCATCCCATGCTGACAGATGCCTCAGGAAGCACAGGGCCTATCACAGAGTGGGGTCTCGGCACACAGTCACTGAATGCACAGGGGCTTGGTTTGAAAACTGAGGCCAAAAGGCTAAAAGGATTAACAGTCATCAGTCAGCTGGAGGTGGGGAAGACGGATGCATGATGGAGGAAGGTCATTGGTTAATTAAATAAACTGCTTACCCTGATAGGTTAGAACATAGGTGGGTGGAGTAAACAGAACAGAATGCTGGGAGGAAGAGGAAGTGAGCTCAGAGATGCCATGCTCCCCTCTCCCAGGCAGACTAGATAGCTCTGCTCTTTGAGGCACTTGCGATGAAGCTCCAACCCAGGATGGACATAGGCTAGAATCTTCCCGGTAAGCGCACCTTGGGGTGCTACACACCTTATTAGAAATGGGCTAGTCCAGGTGCGAGAGTTAGCTGAGAAGAGGCTAGATATAATGGGCCAAGCAGTGTTTAAAAGAATACAGTGTCTGTGTAATTATTTTGGGGCATAAGCTAGCAGGTGGCCGGGATGCTGGGGACACAGCCCTGCCACTCCCATTACTACAGATGCAGGCAGAGCGGCCGGGATGCTGGGGACGCAGCCCTGCTGCTCCTATTACTACAGATGCAGGCAGAGGAAACAGCACTCACAAAGGCCCGGAGGGGAGGAGGCAAGAATTAGAATTAGGTGATGTGGGATTCTCCTTAGTATGGTTAATAAAGCAGCTACTCTGGGTCTATTGCAGCACAGAATAGGGAAAGGCAGGAATTCCAGGCAGATAGAGGAGGAGAGAGTAGGTGGAGTCAAAGAGACATAGCTGCTGGAGAAAAAAGATGCCTGCATGCTGGTACTGGTAAGCCACGAGCCTCATGGTAAAATATAAAATAATGGAAATGGGTTAATTTAAGACATAAGAGCTAGCTAGCAATATGCTTAAGCTATTGGCCAAACAGTATTGCAATTAATATAGTTTCTGTGCCATTATTTTGGATCTGGACAGCTAGAATGAACACGCGGTCTCTGACAACACATGGGTACTAGGGTTTGAGTGTGAAATGCCTCACATAGGCTCATGTGTTTGAACACTTAGTCTAGTGGGGGGTGATATTTTGGGAGGAGGCAGGACCTACCTGAAGAAGTAGGTCTATGGGCAAAGGTGGGACTTACAGGTTAGATACTGTTCCTAATAACAGCCCAAAGTCTGTCCTTCCTGACTGGCCAAGATGTAACAGGTCGAACTGTCAACTCATGCCAGCAAGGCACAAGTCCTGGCCACCATGGAACTGTGGACTCAGATAAATCCTGCCTCCCTTCAGTTGCTTCTGGTCTACATTCTGTCATGGTAATGAGAAAAGTAGTAGAAATGGGTGACTAGCAGCTCCCTAGCTTGCCTTTCTCTGGGCATCCAGAGATGGATTAGCACATGCCCAAGAGACAGGAGCAAGCCCAGGAGTCTGGGCTAGTGGATGGTGGGCAGGGTTAGTGTGTGTGGGTGGAGGTTTCGACTGTCAAGGTTACAAATAAGATTAGCAGGTGAATGAAGCAGTTAAAACGTGTACTTGAAGGGGCTGAGGAGATGGCTCGGAGGGTAAACTGCTTGCTCTCTGTGCGTAAGTGAGAGCCAGAGTTTGGATTCCTAACGTCCACATAAACTTTGGCAGGAAGCTGTCTGCAACATTGGTGTTGGGGGTAGATGGAGACAAGTAGCTTGGAGGCAAGCTAGGCTAGCTAGTTCATCTAAATCAGTGAGCTTCAGGTTCGTGAGAAATCCTGTCTCAAAAAATTTTAAAAAGGTAGATAGGAGGACATATAATGTTGACCTCTGGCCTCTACATGACTCCTCCCCACCCCTGGGTGTGCCCTGTGCCAACATCATTCATAGACATGCAAAGGGAATAAGCCCTTTTTATTGAATAATCCAGGTGATAAAATACTTACAACTTTCAAGCTGCAGTTGGCTATTTCAGTGCAAATAGCTTTAAGAGACGAAATGAAGTTAAAGGTGAGGGGGTCAGTCTCCTTCCAGAAGCTAATGAGGAGCCGGACTTTAACGCTTCGCAAAACTAATGCTTCCCTTATTTTCCCATCCAAATCTGGCCAGTATGTTCTGCAGAAGGAAAAAAGGAAACCCACCTGAAAAAGAATTTTACTAGACAACAGAATGCTTCGCTGTTCCTCTGCGCATTGCTTTAATCTGTAACATGTCAACCAACATGTAGGATAGATTGATAACATGGGTCTTTGGAGTTTGGTACCAAAGGTGATGTTTTTCTAGGACTTCCTTATAGCAGGTCTTATACAAGGCCTATCTATAGACTTTACAGAAGGCCTCAGGTTCACAGGGCGAAGCTATGTGGAACTAGTGTTCAGATGAACCAACCCCCTTGGGTTGTCTTCAGCAGACCTCCGAAGCTTTCCAGGCCTCGTGTGGTGGAAGCGTCTACTTTTGGGCAGAATTATCTACGTGTCTTGCATGCCTCTTCCCAGATGCCATGGCAGCCTCTATTCTTTGACAATATCCCTCACTCTCTAAAGAACATCTGCTCTAGTCGTCTGAGCTGTCCAATGCTCTTCTTTCCGTATTATCTTTAACACCATTTCTATAGACCCAGCATCCCCCAGCTCCTTTCCCTCCTACCTCTGGGATGGACACTGGGAACCCTCCATCAGGCCAGTAGTTTCCTGTCACCTAAGCCTCTTCCCACAGTAATTCTCCCAGACGGCTTCTCAGCCCTTGCCATGTGTTTCTATGACCAGTTGGTCTCTTGGCTTAAGGTGTGCATGTGGCCATCGGCTCTACCCATTCCCCATCATGTCATTTCAGAAGTATCACTTATTCCTTATGTTAGGACAAATCAGTTACTTGTCTTGTCTTAACTAAGTCTCAAACCATGCCTTCTCTCATTTCTTTGTAGGGATTCTGCTGAGATTCCAGGCTCAGTCACTGTTTGGACAGTTACTGTGAACTACAGCCTGTCAGTGCTATGACCACAGCATCTCCAGGGTCTGCTCTCTGACCCTCTCACCCTCTATGACCCTCCTTCCCTCAAAACTCCCATTCTTAACCACATGAAGCCTGTGCTTTAGTCCTGATGGGCTACAGATCTATGATGCCCCGAAGTCCCTGTTCCTTCAGCCTCTCCTTGTCTCTTTTACCTGGTCAATCCAATTCCAGTTAAGATCACCTGCAGGCCACTTGTCCCTCCACCTTCCTCTTGATCTTCAAAGGACCAAAACCCTGGGTGACATTAGAATTCTCTCTGTCATTTTCTAGGGACTACCAGGAACACTCACCCAGCCTTCTACTGTAAATTGGTCCCTTGCCTCAACTATTTTTCTTGGTCAACCTCACCTATATAATCACAAACATGGCTGCTTAACAGCAGGTGTGATCCTGCTACTCCTTTCATTAAGACACCAGTGCCTTCCCCAAATCATGATACTCTCTTTGAGAAGCCTCCCTACCCCCTTGCTCCTCATCCCTGCTTCCTCTCCAGAATGGTTTCTTGCTGCCATATCTTGGGCTCTGCGATCCAGCATTGAACCTGGCAGGCGTTTTGCATCACCACTGCATGCTCTGCTAGCTGGAAAGGCAGGAATCCCAACACTGTCTCTAACGGATGGTGTGTGTTTAGATCATCTCTGTCTTGTGAGTTCTCAGGTCTCCTTTCATTTAGGTATTTGACAACGAGGACACTACATTTTAAGTCTAAGATATTAATTAATTCCACAAACACACAGAATTTACTTCTGAACCTCCCTGTTTTTTAGGATCAGTTTGACATCTAAATAATAAAACTCATTTATATGACTGAGAAGAATGTAATTATAGTCTGAATATTTGAGCTACATATTTCTCTTCTGTGCCCTTTTGTTTAGAGAGGTGAAGGTAGGGGCTGGAGAGATGGCTTGGAGTTTAAGAGCACTGGCTGTTCCTCCAGAGGTCTTTTTTACATTTTTATTTTTCCATTCAAAAATTTACACTTCCTCCCCTCCCGCCTCCCCACTCACCCTCCTCCCTCCCCGTCCCTCCTAAGAGAGGGCAGGGAACCCTGCCCTGTGGGAAGTGCAAGGTCCTCCCCGCTACATCCAGGCCTAGGAAGTTTTGCATCCAAATAGACTAGGGTCCCAAAAAGCCAGTATATGCGGCAGCAGAGTAGAGGATGCCTGAACTGGCCTTGCCCCACTATCACACTGATGATTATCTCCAATATCACCATAGAATCTTCGTCTGGCAACGGATGGAGATAGAGACAGAGACCCTCATCAGAGCAATGGACTGAGCCCCCAAGGTCCAGTTGAAGAGCAGAAGGAGGGAGAAGATGAGCAAGGAAGTCTGGACTGCGAGGGGTTGGTCCATCCACTGAGACAGTGTGCCTGTTCTAATGAGAGAGCTCACCAAATCCAGCTGGACCGGGACTGAATGAGCATGCGATCAAACCAGCCTCTCGGAATGTGGCTGAAAATGGGGGCTGACTGAGAAGCCATTGATAAAGGCACTGGGACTTGTTTCTTTTCCAGAGGTCTTAAGTTCAATTCCCAGCTCCCTCAGGGTAGTTCACTACCATCTATAATGAGATCTTGTGCCCTCTTCTGGCAGGCAGGTAGAACACTGTATACATAATAAAAACAGTCTTAAAAATAAAGAAAGCTGAAATTATAGGCTTAAAATTTTATTTTGTTTCTGTCCATGTCCCTGTAGGCAGCCCCAGAAATCTTATTTATTTGCTGAGCTGAGCTTGGTGGAAACTTTCTTTGGTCTGTTGACTCCCTCTATATTTGAGGTGAACAAATGTTTCCTTTTTTTTTTTAATGATTTTTTTAAAGGTTAGCACACGAAGCAATGTGTTTCATCATGGCATCTTTGCTCACAATACAAGAAGTATTTGAACAACAGCCAGAATAACTAAGATTTGAGCCTTCAGGTTGGTCTCTAGCTCTTTAAGCATCTTTACATTTTCCCCTACTTGTAAGATTTTTGTTTCTTTGAGACAAAGTTTCACCTTGTAGCCTAGATTGGATTTAAAAGATGTAACCTTGGATGATATTGAACTTGTGACCCTCCTGTCTCAGCCTCCCAAAATCTGGGAATACAGGTATGCACCACGACATACCACAGACCCCCACCCTGACAATGAAAGACTTGAGTTTTGCTTATCGAAAGCCATGAAACAAAGTTTTGGTAGTCTTGAGCCATCATCCTAGAATCCTGTGAACTTAGTCCTCTATTCTCCTTGGTAACAGACAACCAGGCACAATGTGTTATGTTTCCAGAGAAAAGCTGACATCTAAAATTTACTCTAAAGTCAGATAAACAAGAAATGAGAAGAGCATAAAGAGGAGGCATAGGAACGGTGGGAAAGTGAGAGGGAAAATCCATGAACATTCAAAAGATGCATGATGTCTTAAAGTAGCTCTGTTTTAATAGCATGACTCTTATAGCTCAAAACGCTTTCCCACGGTCATGAAGCGACCCATTTCTGGCAGGCTTTTTGCAGTCTTACAGACATTTGCATAAAGATGCTACATATTATGCATATGTGGGATCAGCAAGACGAAAAATATTCAAGTAATATATGGCACGCTTAATCATTTAAGCTCACTAAATGGCTATTTTGAAATTACAGTTTTCTGAATGATGGAGGACCTCATCCACAGTCAGAAATGCGCATTTTAGAAAGTGTTTCCTGCTCAAGCTAATTCTGAAAACGCCGACAGCACCCAAAGTCGTGCCTTTGTTGCAAGCAAGCAAAAGAGAGAACGCTTGGGTGTGGTTCCACATTATGTGTGATTATTCTCCCGAAAGCTTTATCATATATTCTGCCCCTGAACCATTTCCAAGTTACTATGTCACCAAACCGTGAGGAATTGAGAAGTTAACCACTGTAAAAGCAGTCTTCTTCTCTTATGGAAGGGTACACTGTCTGAGAGCATGCATTTTAGATTCCTTTCCCTCCTCATCTTGAGGACACAGAGAGATATGCTTTTTCTAGTTAGGTGATTTTCCTTTTTTTTTTTTTTTTGACTCTTTTAAAAAATATTTATTGAGCTCTACATTTTTCTCTGCTCCCCTCCCTGTCTCTTCCCTCCCCACTTCAACCCTCCCCCAAGGTCCCCATGCTCCCAATTTACTCAGGAGATCTTGTCTTTTTCTACTTTCTACTTCCCATGTAGATTAGATCTATGTATGTCTCTCTTAGTATCTGCATTGTTGTCTAAATTCTCTGGGATTGTGGTTTGTAGGCTGGCTTTCTTTGCTTTATGTTTAAAAACTACCTATGAGTGAGTACATGTGATAACTGTCTCTCTGTGTTTGGGTTACCTCACTCAAAATAACATTTTCTAGCTCCATCCATTAGGTAATTTTCAGAGTGAAGTTTATCCAGCCTTCTTTCTGAAATTGCTCTCATGCCTGTAGGATAAGCTAGGTACTCCTGCAGAGTGAGCTCCCTCTCCCAAGCCTTTAAATTGGACCCACTTGGGGAAGCAATGCACGAGGGATCTTTTGCAGATGTCCACTACGGCAGCACAGCCTCTCAGAGCCCAGAGGCCTGAGTACCCCACAGTACAGGTGGCCAAGTCCCTGACCTTTTGGTGCTCGTGCTGGAGATAGGCAGGTAGTCTGTGACAGCGATGTACACGTACTGCTTGGCGTCGTCTATCACGCTGTAGATGGCATCGATGTCAAAGCTTCTGTTTTTAGGACAAAAGAGTTTGGGAGAATTCTGTGAAGATAGAAAACCCGATATGTTAGGGTTGAATTGTAGGCATCTGTGGATTTAAAATGTTTTTTATTTGTGTTGGTAGGTCTTGGTTTATGGTTAGTCACACGGTTTGTAAACCTCTTGTCTGCTTTTCCTTGTTGTTGTTTTTATTTCTTGTTTGCTTTTTGAGACAAAGTTTCTCTGTGTAGCTTTGGCTGTCCTGGAACTCACTCTGTAGACCAGGCTGGTCTTGAACTCAAAGAGATCCACCTGCCTCTGCCTCACAAGTTCTGGAATTAAAGGCGTGCACCACCACTGCCAGGTTTCCTTTCTGCTTCTTGGTCAGTTTACAACAAGCTAGTTTGTGTTTTGTCAAAGTTGAGGCAGGGCATGTATCAAGTCCTTGAAGTCTGTCTTAGGAGGGAATTTTTGCTTTCTGTACACATCTTGCTATTGTGAGAGCAAGCTGCCTCAGGTTTATGTGATTCTAGGATCCCTCCTGTTTGTGACTGAGGATATTCTAAAGTATGATTTACAGACTTATATACACATAGAGGAAGCAATTTATTCTTGAAGTCATTTCATTTGAGAAGTGATGTTGGCCATAAAACTATCCAAGACACAAATCTAAAAACTCTCATTTTTCTGTATCTTTCATAGAGTCAGGAAGAGGATTGCTGATGGTGGAGAAGGGGCATCTATAACCTGCCAAGGAAAACCCAAGTTACCATGATGCCCACATCCATCAAAAGGGTCAGAGAAGAAAGCTATCCTGCCAGACATCAGTCAAAAGAGCTAAGAGGCAAACTGTGCTGAAGGTAATTTTCTCATGTCTGAACTTTCTCTGTTTTTACATGTAGTTGGTATGGCAAGGGGAAGACGAATTTCAGAGTCTTAGTGTTTTTCCAGCGAGGAGGATTGAACACGAGTGTCTCCTGTATGCCCTGCCTTTCCCCTGACATCAGTCCCTGTGGGAAGCATGGGTGCACAAAAGAGAGAATGAACATTTCTGGACCTGCCTGGAATAAAGAGCAGCATGGGACAATAAGAGTTCCCAAGTCATTTGTCCCCAGTGCCTTATCCTGAATCAGTGGGGATCCTGTCTTACTACATGACTCACGGAATGAAGGTACTGGGGTGAATACCCCCTCTATGAACAGTAGGGACAAAGTGGCTAACAGGGGCATATTAAGGGTAAACCCTTTCTAGGCATCCTTGTCTGGAGAGTCCTTGTGATGACCATCAGTGATTATTAACTGCCTAATAGTGCCTAATAGTCAACTCAACAGGCTTCACAATCATTGAAGAGATGAACCCGGAATGGGGAGGTGACTTTGGGAGAATTTTGAGTAAGGTAAACTGAGGTGGAAAGAGCCACCTTTACTGTGGGTGGCAGTGTTCTATGTGCTGGAGTCCTGATGGAAAGGCAGGCTGATCACCAGCATTCAGCTTCTGCTGTTTCCCAGCTGCAGATGTGATGAGCAGCTGCCCCATGCTCCCATGCCTGTGCTTTCACCATCATGATGAGCTCCCCTTGGGTGGTAAGCCAGAATCCACCCTTTCTCCATCAGGTTGCTTTTGTGAGATATTTGGATGTAGCAGTGGGAAAGGTAAACAATCAAGTCCTCTTGGCCAGCGACAGGCAGCATGTACTTTGGATTAATTATTTTGCTTTTCGAAGGAAGATAAACTTCCATTCTTTAGTGGGAGGAAATGCATTGTCTCCACGACATTTAGCAAATGGGTACAGGTGGCTTTCAGGATGAACTCCTGTCTTGGGATGAGTACCCCTGAGTGTTATTCTGTCCCCCCACCCCCATATCCCCAGCTCATGGCAGTGTCCTCGTCACCTCTGCTTGCTGACATTTGCTCAGCTGGACCCTCTGGGTGACATGCTTCCCTGTTTGTCATACTGGATTGCTCCCTAAATTCCAGTTCAAATACATGTCTTCCACAAAACTCTTTCTTTCTTAGATCTTCAGACAGAGGCCACTGCTGATCTCCTAGGCTGTATGCTTCTTTTTCCTTCTTATCAACTTCTGTCCCCTCTTCCTCCTTCCTTTATTTCCTCCTTCTCCCCATCCACAGGCTGGTGGGCCCTGGGGCTTTCCTTACGCTAGCCAAGTGCTTTACTGCTGAGCTACATCCCAGCTCCGGCTTCACCCTTTCAAATCTATTGTCCCAGGGCATGGAGTGACTCCATACTGATGCACAACCCTTCCCACAATCCACCTCTGAGTTCACGTCTGTATTTAAGTTTAGTGAGTTAGGAATGATCAAAACTCTGTATCATAACTGGAAATTTATATTTAACTGCACTGAGTTAGGAATTATTAAAAAGTATAATTTTAGGACAGGTGATTCTTCAAGTCCTTAGATATTCTTTCTGTGTATTCAATTTAGTTTTGGGACTGTCAACTTCCAAAAATATGATGTACTATTTTAAGATTTTTTTTTTTTACAACAAATATATTGAACTTAAATTAGTTTGCCTTGGCATTTGCTTGGCATCTATTACTAAAGAAGCTATAGACATTCTGGAACTTTCCATCAATATCTCTACCAATAAATCCAGTCCAACATTTATTTATTTACTGCTGCTTTCAAAGCATTGAGTGAGGTCCTGGGAATATCACTTATGCAGAGAGTATAAAATCTTTAGAGCCTTATAAAATTATGGGGGAATCGTCATAAACAAATAATTGCAAAGCTCTGATAAATAGTAGAGTGAGAGCGAGAAGCTAGTTCTGAAGGCGGGGCTTCTTTGAAGGTTAAAAAAATGTAGGTAAGACTCTATATCTCCTCAAAATCAGGTGTGTGTGTGTGCAGTGTGTGCATGTGTGCATGAATATATACATGAACACACATATATAAAATTAAACTGCATGAGTATGCTGGTTGATTTCTGTCAACTTGAAGAAATTGACAGAAATAGCTGGAAAGAGGAAATCTTAATTGAAAAAATCTCTTCATGAGATTGGCCTGTAGGCAACTCTATGAAGAATTGTCTTGATCAATGATTGATGTGGGAGAGCCCAGATCATTGTAGATGCTGCTGTTTCTGGGCTGGTGGTCACAGAATAGTACAAGAAAGCAGGCTGAGCCAGCCATAAAGAGCAGGCCAGTGAGCAGCACTCCTCCAAGGCCTCTGCATCAGTTCCTGCCTCCAGGACCCCGCCTTGAGCTCCTGCACTGTCTTCCCTGGATGACAGTCTACAAGCTGATTTTGGTTATGGTGTTTTATCACAGCAATAAGAAGCTAAGATGATAAGAGAAAACATGAAATTTGTTTTTCTGAATCTTGCTAATTTCATTAAACAGTATCTCCAACTTCACCCATTTTCCTTAGAATGACATTAATTCCATTTTTCTTTATGGCTGAATAAAATTCACGTGTGTGTGTGTGTGTGTGTGTGTGTGTGCACTCTGTTTTTTAAAAATCTTTTCATCTGCTGAAGGCATCATGACTGCTTCTACATCTTACGTTCTGTGACTAGCATAGTAATAAACTAGAATCTGCATGTGTCTTTGAGGTGTGTTGACCCAAATTCCTTCCAGTAGATGCTTAGGAGTGGTGTAGCTAGATCACATGGTAACTTTCCTCTCAGGTTTTTGAGGAACCTCCATATTGATTTTCACAGTGGCTACACTGGTTTACATCATCAGGAACAATACACACACACACACACACACACACACACACACACACACACACACGTCTCCCTTCCCCTACATCCTCACTAGCATTTTCTGCCATTTGTTTTCTTGGTGATAGCCATTCTAACTTGGGTGAGATAAATCCTAATGTAGTTTTAATTTGCATTTCCCTGATAACTAAAGATGATGACTTTTTTCATACTTTTACTGTCATTTGTTTTTCTTCCTCTGAGAACGGTCTGACTCATCTGTTCATTTGTTGATTGGATGACAGTTTGGGGGTGCTTAATTGTTGATGTATTTAAAGATTATAGGTATTAATTTTCTGTCAGAGAGTCAAAACTGGTTTTTATTTGGTATCTGTTGGACGTAAGTTAAAGGTATAATTGATATTATTAGTGAGAAGATAAAATAAATCAAATTAAAGAAATGAAAATAGAAAATAAGCTTTAAGTAATTTTAAAAGCTAACTACCACTCAGACTCAGAAAGACAAATATATTATCTACTCACTCATAAGTGGCTTTTAGACATAAAGCAAAAACAAAAACAAAAATAAAAACAAACGAACAAACAAAAAACCATCCTCCAGTCCACAACCCCAGAGAATCTAGACAACAAAGAGAACCCTAAGAGAAATATACATGGATCTACATTGGAAGGAGAAAAAGACAAGATCTCCTGAGTATGTTGGGAGCATGGGGCGGGAAGCATTAGAGAGGGTAGAAGGGATTGGGGAGGCAAAGAGGGAAGCAAAGAAATATGTATAGCTCAATAAAAACAATTTTAAAAAATTAACTACCAGAATATATGTTTTCCAGTTCATTTGCTATTTTTTGGATGAAAAATCAATTTTTAAGTTTCCCTAGACTAGAGCAAAGATGCACTCTCATTTCCAGGGAAGAGGTGCTGGAATTAAGACCTTGCACTGTCAATGGGTTGAACTGAGGGCCCGAGGCTCTCTGTGGTAGAGATGGAGATGCTAGAATCGACAAAGGCAACACCTGCCCTTTTAAATGTGGACAAGAACCTCACTCACTTATCTCTAAGATTCACACCTTAAATTCAAGCCACACGATTGTCCAAAGCATTGCTCGTTTGTGCCTTTATTTCCTGTAGCCTCTCATCTATTTTTCTGGATCTTTGTTTGAGGCACGATGTCACTTTGCTTCCCATTGCTGTTTATGTACAGATTGGGAACACACTCTAGCCTTGGGGTACTACTGTTCTCTGGAGATGCAATGAAAATGTGCTTCTAAAAGGCTCCCTGTAGGGATTCCACTTGCTACTGCATTTTGTGGGAGCCAGCGGGACAAGAGCACCACAAATACCCCAGAATACCAGCTAACCTGGGCTCATAGGGGTTACAAAGACTGAACCGACAACCAGGGAACTTGCATGGGACTGACCTAGGCCCTCTGCAAGTGTGTTACTGAAGAAGGATGCTTAAAAGAAATCCCACACTAACTCAGAATTGAGAATTAGGTGGTTATTTATTTAGGGGTAAACTCACAAATCAGAATCCTCTGCTGGAATGGAGATCAGAAATCGAAATCCACAACCGGAACAGAGTAGCCAGAAAAGAGCGGATGCAGGCTCTGCATCAGCATATATAGTATAAGAGGCCACGCCCCAGTAGGCGGGTAACCACTAGCTGTAAGACTTCCTACAGCATGTTACAACTGTGTAACTTGATTTGTGAAACTCCTAACAGTGAGAGCAGAGGCTGACTCTGACTCTGTCGCCTGTTTTTAGGATCTATTCCTCCTGTTAGACTGGCTCATTCAACCTTAATAGAAGAGGACGCGTCTAGTCTCATTGCAACTTCATGTGTCATGGCTGGCTTATATCCATGGGAGGTTCATCCCATATGGGAAGAGAAACAGAGGAGGAGGAGTGGATGGGGCTTGGGGGAGAAATTGGAAGGAGAGGACGGAGGGAAAACTTCTACTGGGATGTAAAACCAACCAACCAACCAACCAACCAACCAACCAACCAACCAACCTATCAACCAACCAACCAACCAACCAACCAACCAACCAACCAACCAACCAACAAAAAGTCTCACCGCCCCATGGAAGTCCTCCATAACTGTTTTCAGCTCTTCGTGCTTATGTGAATTTGTTATTTTTTTTTAAAGATGTATTTATTTACTATGTATACAACATTCTGCCTCGATGTATGCCCACATGCCAGAAGAGGGCACCAGATCTCAGTACAGATGGTTGTGAGCCACCATGTGGTTGCTGGAAATTGAACTCAGGACCTCTGGAAGAGCAGTCAGCATTCTTAACCTCTGAGCCATCTCTCCAGTCCCAACCTATTGCTTTCTCTTTTTTTTTATCTTTTTTTTTTTATTGAGAAAAGGAGAAAAAAAACAAGTTTCAAGCATCTTAACTCTCCTTTGGACCATCTTGTACTGTCTTCTGGACATTCAGAACGTGCTCTCATTTGAAAGGGTGAAAAGGATATAGTTTATCACTCTTCAATAAATGTTCTCTGGTAGGTAAGAGTGATTGGCATAGACACCCTGGCACCCATCCAGGGAGGAAGAACAGTAGTCACGTGGGAGCAGGGTTTATAGAAGACTGGCTGAGCACCAGGATGAACTCAGGAATGTGATTCAGGTCCGACTCGTGAGGTCTCACCCTAGGTCAGGTGTTAATTCTTAATTGTTCTAGAATTTGGAGAGACTGGGTTTGGAGGCCCAGATATACACAACCCCAGTTCCTAGTGACAGCACAAAGGGGTGGGTAGTGGGGTGTTAACAGGAGGTGAGGATGGGGCACTGGTTTTCACCACAGTCAGAAGCCTCGGACATCAGGAGTGGCCTTTTGCTGGCCTGCCCCAAGCAAATACATCGGCTCTGGCATCGTCTTCTGTACTGGTTCCCTCAGATCTGTCTCATCAGGTTTCTACTCTAGATAGATCTGGAAACCATGGATGAAGGGCTCATCGGCTGTCAGCCCAGGGAGCTGGGACCTCTGTGGTGCTTTCCACATAATGGACTTTGAGCCCCTGGGATGTTTTAGTATCTTCTTTTGTAAAATGGCCACAACGGAATCATAACTCCACTCCCACAGGCTCAGGGAATGTTGCAAAAAAAAGCACACAGAAGATTGCAAGAGCCAGAGGTCAGTGGGGACTGTTGCAGTAATAGTGCCTTCTGGACATGACTGGGCTGTTGTACTAATGTTCTCACGCAGTAGTTGTGGCTGCATGTAAGACCTACACGATATCAAGCCAGTCAGCATCCCATGATACGGGCCCGATCCCAAGGACCACCTCGAGCTGAGACTATTGGCAGTTCAAGGCTTCTAGAGGAGGTAATAGTCAGTTTTCCTCCAAGGTTTGGTTTCTGCTATGCTGCCCATATCCATGTCCACAGGGGCAGCGCTAACTGGACTCAGTGGGTTACAAGAAAAAGAGGCTATGAGATTGGAATGTGAGGAGGGTCTGGGAGGGGTTGGAGAGGCCGGTGTACAGAGCCTTTGGGGACAAAAGTGGTGGGGGTGATGAAACAATGCGGGTGTACGACTCACCGACACAAAGGCTTGCGACTTGGTTTCATTCAGCTGGAGCTGAAGCTTCTTCTCATTGTCATAGACTCCGTACAGTCTCTTGGACCAGGTCTGAGGTACTCTGCTCTTGAATTTTAATGAGCTATATAAAGCGAATATCCTTTGTAAATCTAGGACCAGGCAGCTGCAGTTGTAGAAGATGACACCGAGTTCTTTCATCTGTGAAATTAAAATTGAGAGCATCAACGTGGGGTGCAATTGATGATGTTATTTTCAGAGGGAAAAAATGCATAAGAGTGTTGTAAAGAAGACTTCTTTTTTAAATGCATTTTTTTTGTTACATGGGAGTATGCAGATAGGACCACATAATAGCATATAGAAGAAATATATCCTGAAATGTTCATATACAGGAATAGAACTTTTCCTCCCTTTTTGCAGTTGCCCTTTTATGGAGACAATTTTACCAGCTACAGTTTTAATATTGGCTTTTCACATTTTCCCCCCTCAACACCATTTTTTAAATGGATACTGAAGCAGCAAGACAATGACCCTCCATTGCAACATTACAGAGTGGTTACAGATATAGATGCCTGGAAATTGGCCCCAGCTCTACAGTGTTAGAGCCATGTGATTTGGGGGTAATATACTTAATCTCTGGATCTCAGTGTCTTCTTACAAGAAGTGAAGGCAATAGTGTTAACTGCATAGACGAAGTTGCTGGAACAGACTGGTTAATACACGTAAGAACAGTGTTCACAGTCATTAAAAATTATGGCAAATTGTTATTCTTACTAAAATTGCATACCCCTGACAGCAGCAGACCAACTCCCTGTGTTGAAGAGACCATGGAGGTATTTTTGTCCCTCTTTTCTCAGTGCACAAGAAGGAAAGTGAAGCCCACAGAGTTAAGTAAAATTACAAGTCAGAGACCAAATTGGGGGTAAATTAGGAATCTGATTGCAGGTTTTGTAAATGGTGGTTAGAGATACCCAGGCAAAGAACCTCAATGGCTCCCTCCTAGCCTACTGTGTCTTTGGGGAAAGTGTTCACTATCTTTGATTTGCTTACAGTAACAATGTAAGGTTTTGGTTGGAAAAGAGAGGAACACACATATGAATGTTTTATATGACTTGATTTCCCAGTTAAGGGTGGCTTAGGAGACCTAGGCTCCTGAAGACCAAAGCAGGAATATGAAATTTTCTTCCAGTCTGTCTCTTTCTCCAGAAGAGACTGCTTATCACGTAGCATTGTATGTCCTTGTTCCCGGGGCTACCAGTACAACATACTATGGCAGGGGGAGGGCTTTCCATGTTCATCTATTCTGACATGTATTTATGCTTCTAGCTCCATGGCAACCACAAAATAGATATGCATAGGTTATTTAACCCACTCAGGAACTTGTCTCTAATTTCTTGCTATTGCAAAAAATAACACGATCATCCTTAAACATATTCTTGTGTGCTTTTGTGCAGGTATTTCTTCAGTGTTGAGTATTGCAGTCAGAGGAACATTAAGGTTAAGAAAATGAAAGGTTTCAATGAACAGGTAGATCAGAAATATGCAAAGACACTTATTTGTGACTTAGGTCTTTTAATCAGAGCTGAGTGGTTGGAGCTAAACATGAAGGGAAGAATGTGTGTGTGTGTATACAAGTGTGCAATTATCTCTTTCCAGGTGATTAGGTGCTGTGGAACAACAGTCTTTTATCCTGTCACTTGTATTATTTTTAATAAAATGCTGATTGGCCAGTAGCCATGTAGGAAATAGGGGCGGGGTGATCAGGCAGGAAGTGGCAGCAGGGCAACGAGAATTCTGGGAAGAGGGAAGTTTCAGTCTGCAGTCGTGACCCAGATGCAGAAGACGTAAGATGTGACTGCCTCACCCAAAAAGGAACCAATCCATGTGGCTAACACAGACAAGAATTATGGGCTAATATAAGTTATAAGAGTTAGTAAGAAGCCTGAGATACTAGGTCAATCAGTTTATAATTAATGTAGACCTCTGTGCGATTTCTTTGGGACTTAACGACTGCGGAAACCAGGCAGGACAGAAACCTCAGTCAACAATGGGGTAGAACTAGAGTGAGGATGTTAAATTCCCAGGGACTTTTGATGGATGAGCATTTGATGTTTCCACTGGAGGACGTGGGGAAGGCAGTAAGAGGGAGGCTTGTTTCTAGAAACCACCCACATTACTCTTTTGTTCGTTTGTTTTGTTTTTGTTTTCTGAGCTAAGGTTTCTCTGTGTATTTCCAGCTGTTAGATCTGCCCTTCCTTCCTTCCTGAGTGGTGGAATTAAAGGCATGCACCACCACTGCCAGACTCTCTTTTAAAAAAATATATACTTATTTTATTTGTAATTATGTGTATATGTGTATGTGGGTATGTGTGTTTGTGGGTTATGTGTGTATGTGGGTTATATGTGTATGTGGGTTATGTGGGTGATATGCATGTGTGAGTACAGATACCTGAAGCAACTAGAAGATGGTCTCAGACTTCCTGGAACTAGAGCTATGAGCAGTCATGAGCCTCTTTGACATGGATGCTGGGAACCAAATTCACGGCCCTCCAAGAGCAGTATTCACTCTTAAGCTCTGTGTCATCTCAGGCCAAAGTAACTCTCTTGTTTAAGAAAAATCTTTTAATTTTATATTGTGTTCTTTTGTGAGCTTGATGAGCACCATGTGTGTGCAATGCCTGCAGAAGCCAGTGAGCATTGCTTGACAAGTTCCTTTTAGACAAAGTGCTAGGTATTCAGTACCATTCTAGATGAAGTGTCAAGCTGTTCAGCGGGAGCACAGAGGTACTTCAAGGGAGACGAACAAATGAAAGGCAATGGTGATGCCGTGGACAAGCAGAGAAGGATGGCGTATTTGGAAGAGGTTTTCTCCCTGGCACTTAAAGCCAAATAGTCCTCTCAAGACACTCGTGGTCTCTTTCTGCTATAAACTTGATCCTAGAACATGTGCCATCACATTTGTTATTCTGGGTATCTGGTGAACCAAACCTTCAAAATGAATAGGAAAACTGGGAGCATGATATAAAAAAGCTTATTTAATGAGAAATACAGAAGCAGCACTCATCGGCCTCTGTGTTCTGGGGACTGCTCCAAATGTTTCACACATCTGTGTCTTTTTTTTTTTTTTTTTTTTTTTTTTTTTTTTTTTTGATTTTCGAGACAGGGTTTCTCCGTAGCTTTTTGGTTCCTGTCCTGGAACTAGCTCTTGTAGACCAGGCTGGCCTTGAACTCACAGAAATCTGCCTGCCTTTGCCTCCCCGAGTGCTGGGATTAAAGGCGTGTGCCACCACCGCCCGGCACATCTGTGTCTTAAAATCATTTTCTTTAGCAAGCATTCATTTATCCTGGCACACACAGTGATGAGTTTCACAGAGACATTTTCATGTAAGTGGATCATGGACTTGGACCACTCTCACCCTCTCCTGCCCTTTCTCATCTCTCTATTTTTTTCCATTCATTTTTGTCGGGCAGTCTCGCTTCTATTTATATATCTTATATAGTATATGGTTCGTATAACTACATAAAATAGAAGATCTACAAATGTGAAAAAGCATGTCACTGGCTTTCCTGCATGACTTAGTTCACAGAATGTCATGACCTCCCGCTGCGGTCATCTTCATGGAGGTGGCCCACCTTCGTCCTCTTTTATAGCCAAATCATACTGTATTGTGCACTTATTCCACATTTTTCCATCTGTCGAGCTGCTGGTGGACAGCTAGCCTGATTCTGCAACTTGACTGTTGTCAACAGTGGGCCAACACATCTGCTTTCTTAAACATTTCTTAAAAATTTGGAGAGATCAAATGGCTTACACAGGTTCATTTCAAGGAAAGAGGCTGAGCTTATGAAACTTAATGACAGCTGGATATTGCATTTGTAGGAATACTTCTTTAGGAGAAATATATATTTCATTTATCTGTATCTTTAATTTCTTTTTTATTGATTTAATGTTTTTGAGAATTTCCATGAGTATTTCACATCATCCAGGTCATCCTGTATCCTCCCTGACTCCATCTCAAATTCATGACCTTTCCTTTATTATTCAAGCATACACGCACACATGCATGCATACACACAGTCATACACACACACGTTCACACATGCATATACATACACACAAACACACATGCATCACACACACATATGTACACACACACACACATGTACCACTTACTGTGTCTATTTAGTTTTGCTCATTTGTGCATGTGTCTATGGCTGACCACTTGGGAATGAGTAGCCTACTGACGAGGACCTACTCTCCCTCTCTCAGCAGCCATGCAGGGCCTGGGTCTCGTGAAATTTCTCCCATCCTTGTTGGCATGTCACCTGTCATTGTGTGGGTCTTATTTAGGCAACCATATTGTTGAGGTTCTGGGGGTGCAACTTTCCTGCCACGTATAGAAGTTGCAGATGCCCTAGGCCTCTGGTTCTTACACTCCTTCAACTCTTCTTTCATGATATTCTCTGAGCCTGAGGTGCAGGGACTGTATTGAAGGTGGCTCACTTAAGGTGTCTACAGGACTGGACTTTATAAGGATTTCTTTGTGTTTGGTTTTTTTGTTTTTATTTATTTACTTATTTATGTTTGAGACAAGAATTCTTTGTGTAACAGCCCTGGTTGTCCTGGAACTTGCTCCGTAGCCCAGGCTGTCCTCAAAGTCAAAGAGATCTGCCTGCCTCTGCCGCCCAAGTGCTGGGATTAAAGGTATGAGCCACCACACTTGGCCTTGTAAGAATAATTTAATATAAATATGTAATGTACTTTGGCCATGCTTCTCCACCTACCCTCCTACCCTCTTCTTTCTCTATCTTTTCCATTTTGTTAGTTTCCTTCATCCCCCAGATGATTTGTCTCTATTTTCATCTCACATATAACAAGATGAATTTATATATCTCTATAAAATGTAGGGTTCAAAGTGTGTAATATTTGTTGTAGAAAGAGTGCTTCCCCAAGCAGAGCACTTGAGTCGAGATGTTCCCTGGTGGTGAAGGCCAAGTCCTGCTGTTTATTTCTGTGCCCTCTTTCAGTCTGATGAGGAGTTCTGCATCTCAAAATTAAGTAAAAATTAGGGAAAACATGGCATCACACTAGATCTTTTTTTCTTTTACCTAAGTTTATTTGTTTGAGATAGGGTCTCACAATATACCCCCAACTGGTCTAGAACGTGTTATGTAGAGCAGGCTGGCCTCAAATGTACAGT